GCCCGGCTTGCCCACCCTGGGTGCCCAGGCCGCCTCGGAGAAAGGGGGGCCCGCCTGGCCCAAGGGGCAGGTCCTCCCAGCAGGACTGGGCTCCCGGAGATGGAGGCTCCCCGTCGAAGTGGTGTGAGCCAGCTTCGCCCTCCGGCAGCCCCCGCAGAGCACCCAGCCTCACCGTGCTCCCGTCTGGGGACGAGGTCTCCACCCCTCATCAGCTTCGGTGGTACCTCCCATCTAAGCCCCACTCTGCCCCGGCCCTGGACACTGGCTCCATGCAGTGTCGCTGGCCATCCCCTCCCCGCCCTGCCCCTCCGGCTTCGGCTCAGCCTGCCCTGCACCTGCCAGCAGTAGGGTGCGTGGGAGGTGGGAAAGGGGCGGGGGTCTGACACCCCGGTCCTCCCAGCCCTATGCTCGGCCCCTGCTCCTCCCCTCTAGCAGGCGAGGTGGGGGCACAGAGGTCTCAGCCTGCTCCCCGAGACACCGCAGCTCGCCACGACTGAGGCAGCGGACAGCCCAGCGGAGGGGTCACCTGTCTTTGATGAGCTCGCAGAGAGGAGAGGCACAGCCCTTGAGGGAGGTGGCGCCACTGTCCCTTGAGGGCATGCTGGCCGGGCGCCTGGTGGTGAAGCCGGTGTGGGGACAGTGTGGCTTGCTGGGGTCGTTTACGACCCACGCGTCGGCTGCGACCTCGCAGTCGGAGATGACCTCTCCGCTGGGCAGCGCGCAGTCATCCTCGGTGCTGTTGGTGCACGTGCCTGCGCCGGCGAGAAGGCCGGGTGAGCCGGCGCCTCCAGCCCGGGTTCCCTGGTGCCCAGCCAGCCGGGGCCGAGGGCACAGAGGACACTGGACTCCTGTTGGCCTCCCATAGGGGCCAAACCCAGGATGACGGCCCAGGGACCCTGAGCAGAGCCGGAAAAGCATGCCGGGCGACGGGCACTCGTACCCACTGCGCCCAGCCGCACTGCCCGGGGCCCACCGCGCTGCCCAGGACCCACCGCGCTCCCCGGGGCTCACCGCACTGGCCCTTGGTGTTGTTGCCAAACAGGCGATGGGGAAGTCTGATGGAGAAGGACAGGCCGTTGTAGGAGATGCGGGCGCCCAGCTCGGGGATGGCCACCACGTAGTTGATGCCGGACTCGTACACCTGCAGCCCGTACTTGCTGTAGGGCAGCGCCACCACCTGCCTGTTGATCTGCACCTGTGGCCGACACACCCAGCATCAGGGACGACGGCCGGTGCAGCGGAAGCTGGTGGACACGCAGCCGGAGTGGGACCGAGATGCGCCTTCAGGGAGCAGCTGCGGTCGGCCCAGCCCGCCAAGCCTCACGCCACATGCACCGTGGGGTCTCTGCCCGTCCCCTGCCCTGCCCCAGCCCCTGCCCTGCCCTGGCGGACTCGGCCGGCACCCACGCGCCCTGTGGGGGCGCCGGGCCCTGCAGGCGTACCTGCACCTTCATGGGTGACATGCTCACGGTCTTGACCAGCACCTCCTGGGTCTCGTGGCGCACGATGAGCGTGCGGGGGCAGGACACCTGGTCGTTGACGTCACAGTGGTAGTTGTCGATGTAGACCCCAAAGTTGTCCACCGTGGGGGTGATCTCCTCCACCAGCACGTACGTGCAGTTGCCCTGGTAGCTGTAGTACAGCCCGTCGAAGGTGACGTAGTGCGGGTCCCCCCAGCCCGTGCAGTAGCCTGCGGGGAGGCCGCGTTACCAGCGTGGAGCCCCGCGCGGGGCCTGGGGTGGGGACGGACGCGGTCCGGAGCCAGGGACAGGTGGGAAGAGCTAGCAGGAACCAAGGGGGCACGAAGGGCCTGGTTCCTGGGGCACACAGGGCTCCCATCCAGCAGCCTCTGGCTCAGCTTCCGGCCCCAAAGGCACCAGCCCACGCAACCCGCAGTGGCCAGCGCCTTCTGCCCAGCGGGTCCTGGCTCTGGAGCAGGGAGTCCAGGCCCAAACCCCGGCTCCACCCCTCAACCTTGGCAGCCCCCCAGGCAGCCCGGGCCCTGCCTGAGACCGGGCAGGGGCCAGGCTGCGAGGGATCCCTCGGGACATGTGCCCAGCCCCCGGCGGGCACTCTGGGCTCTGCGCCCGGGGACCTCGGGGAGGGGGCGGGGGGCCCCTGCGGCGCGGCGGGCTCACAGTCACATTCCCAGTGCCAGCAGCAGCCGTCGGGGTCCAGGACGCGCACGGGCGTGAGGCTGTTGGAGCAGGTGGGCATGGGCGGGGGCTTGCACTCCACCTCCACGAGCTCCACCGTCGCGCCATGCTTGCAGATGGCCTTGGTGCAGTTACACAGCCACCACGTCTCGTTCTCCTGCAGGTGGGGAGGGGCACGGCGTCCACCGGGGCCAACGCGGACTCCGGCCCACATGGGGCCGAAGGGCTGTGCTTGCGAGGCCCTGGGGTGAGAGCCTCCTGGGAGGCTGGAGGCCAAGGGCGCCTGGCCAGAGGGAGCTCCTTCTGCCTCGGCTCGCCTCACCTGGGGACGGCTCAGGACACAGGGGCAGGGCCATCTCGAATGGCCAGCAGAAAGGCAGCACCTAGGGCTTCAGATGCCCGGACGGTGTGTCCGGTGCCAAGGGGCAAAAACCACCCACAGGCCACTGACCTGCCTGGGGGGGTCGAAGTCCGGGCACCCGGGGGGCTTGGTGGTGGCCGATGTACTTGGTGCTGTGGACGGCAGGGTCGTGGGCGTGGATGCGCTGGGCGTCGCAGAGGGTGTTGGCGTTGAGGGTGTGAGCGTTGGGGAGGGTGAGGACGGGCAGGACCAATTGTAGAACTCCAAGGTGCAGGCCAGCGAGCAGTTCACGTAGTAGCAGATGCCGCCGTGGGTGCCGTTGTACACCAGCTCACCTGCGAGGGAAGCACGAGCCAGTCCTCACGCCACCCAGACGGGCTGGCCACCGGAGTGCCCAGCAGGTCCCCAAAGAGGCCACCAGAGGAAGCCCCCGCCCCACTTCTGCCTGACTCACGGCCTCAGCAAGGTGGAGCCGGCCACAGTGACGGCCACCCACACTAGGCAGACGGCCGTCTGACACCTCACAGCCGGCAACAGCAGACCCGCGGCCCCCAGCCTCCGACGCCCGCAAGTCAGAGTGAAAAGCTCGGTACCTGGGGCGTAGTACTCGCCATCCACTACGCAGCAGAATATCTGCGAAACAGTGCTGTACCCCGACCCCGTGCTCATGCTGAGCTGGGGTGTGGTAATCGGGCTCGCCGTGAGAGTGGACAGGGTGGCCAAGGTCATGATGCTATGAGACGTGGGCGGCGAGCTCGAGGGGTGCCCCGTCGGGGTGGGGGTTCCGGTGGCGGTCGTCAGCAGGGTCGTGGGCGTGGAGGGGGCGGGACCCGAGGTCGGCGTGCCTGCGGAATGCAGGCTGCACGTGAGAGGTGACTGCACTCGTCAGAAACGCCGCTAGCGGCCACCGCAGCAGGACAGCCCACCCAAGGCGCGACACGCGGCACAGCCAGGCCTCACGCCCACCATGCCGGCCCTCGGTCTCGAGGAGGGGCCGAGTGAGCAGGGCCCATGGGGACGAAGAAAGGGAAGGAGGGTCTCCCAGGGCAGCTGACTAGCAGCCGCTGCTCCCCGCCCAGCCCTGACCCCACACGCCTGGCTGGGTTCCCCTCGGGACAGCTCTGTCCACAGTGCCCTTCACATAGCCGTGGGTTGAGGGACACGGGCCAAAGGCAGTGAGCCTGAGAAGACATCCCTTTGGGGGTACACAGGGGGCCGTTGGCTCTGCCGCCCAGGCACAGACCAGTCAGTGGCTCCCCGATGCTCACGGGCTGAGCGGGGCAGGCGGGAGGTCACTGAGCCTGCGGGAACCTAACGCCCTCACTGGGCAGAGCAGGGGGCAGTGGGCTTCGGGCCGAGGACCTGCAAGGCTCCCATGGCAGGACAGCGAGCCCTGGTGGGGAGAGGAGGAACCGGGAGCGGGACCCCTGCAATGCAGTCGGCACGGGGCCTGGTACCTGCAGTGCCAGAGCTGGTGGGCGGCGGCGGCGTGGAGCCTCCCGTGGCAGTGAGCGGCGCCCTCGTTCCTGTGGCGGTGGAGGTGGTGCTGGTGGTCTCCACGACTCCCGGACGGGTGGTCAGAGACGTGTGGGGTTCCGTGGATGAGGCGGAGGTGGAAGAGACGGCAGGGGAGGACTCGGGTGGGGGTTTGGGCGTGGTGGTCTCGTTGGGTATTTTGCTTGTAGGAATCGGGGACCCCAAGCTGGTGGGAGTGGTGGGGATGGGGGTCAGACTTGGGGTCGCTGTGATTGTGGGGGTCAGAGTGGAGGTCTCTGTTGAGGTGGTGATGGATGACACGGTCGGGGTCACTGAGGTGGTGGGTGTCGGGGTTGGGGTCTCTGTGGTGGTAGTGGTGGTGGTGGTGGTGGGTGTTGGTGTCTCTGTTGAGCTGGTGGTGGGTGTCGGCGTTGGGGTCTCTGTTGAGCTGGTGGTGGGTGTCGGCGTTGGGGTCTCTGTTGAGCTGGTGGTGGGTGTCGGCGTTGGGGTCTCTGTTGAGCTGGTGGTGGGTGTCGGCGTTGGGGTCTCTGTGGAGCTGGTGGTGGGTGTCGGGGTTGTGGTCGCTGTGGTTGTGGTGGTGGTGGGAGTCGGAGTTGATGTCTCTTTTGAGCTGGTGGTGGGAATCGGGGTTGGGGTCTCTGTTGAGCTGGTTCGGGGTTGGGGTCTTTGTTGAGGTGGTGGTGGGTGTTGGTGTCTTTGTTGAGGTGGTGGTTGGTGTTGGGGTTGGTGTCTCTGTTGAGATGGTGGTGGGTGTCGGGGTTGGTGTCTCTGTTGAGTTGGTGGTGGGTGTTGGTGTCTTTGTTGAGATGGTGGTGGGTGTTAGGGTTGGGGTCTCTGTTGAGATGGTGGTGGGTGTTAGGGTTGGGGTCTCTGTTGAGATGGTGGTGGGTGTTAGGGTTGGGGTCTCTGTTGAGATGGTGGTGGGTGTTAGGGTTGGGGTCTCTGTTGAGATGGTGGTGGGTGTTAGGGTTGGGGTCTCTGTTGAGATGGTGGTGGGTGTTAGGGTTGGGGTCTCTGTTGAGATGGTGGTGGGTGTTAGGGTTGGGGTCTCTGTTGAGATGGTGGTGGGTGTTAGGGTTGGGGTCTCTGTTGAGATGGTGGTGGGTGTTAGGGTTGGGGTCTCTGTTGAGATGGTGGTGGGTGTTAGGGTTGGGGTCTCTGTTGAGATGGTGGTGGGTGTTAGGGTTGGGGTCTCTGTTGAGATGGTGGTGGGTGTTAGGGTTGGGGTCTCTGTTGAGATGGTGGTGGGTGTTAGGGTTGGGGTCTCTGTTGAGATGGTGGTGGGTGTTAGGGTTGGGGTCTCTGTTGAGATGGTGGTGGGTGTTAGGGTTGGGGTCTCTGTTGAGATGGTGGTGGGTGTTAGGGTTGGGGTCTCTGTTGAGATGGTGGTGGGTGTTAGGGTTGGGGTCTCTGTTGAGATGGTGGTGGGTGTTAGGGTTGGGGTCTCTGTTGAGATGGTGGTGGGTGTTAGGGTTGGGGTCTCTGTTGAGATGGTGGTGGGTGTTAGGGTTGGGGTCTCTGTTGAGATGGTGGTGGGTGTTAGGGTTGGGGTCTCTGTTGAGATGGTGGTGGGTGTTAGGGTTGGGGTCTCTGTTGAGATGGTGGTGGGTGTTAGGGTTGGGGTCTCTGTTGAGATGGTGGTGGGTGTTAGGGTTGGGGTCTCTGTTGAGATGGTGGTGGGTGTTAGGGTTGGGGTCTCTGTTGAGATGGTGGTGGGTGTTAGGGTTGGGGTCTCTGTTGAGATGGTGGTGGGTGTTAGGGTTGGGGTCTCTGTTGAGATGGTGGTGGGTGTTAGGGTTGGGGTCTCTGTTGAGATGGTGGTGGGTGTTAGGGTTGGGGTCTCTGTTGAGATGGTGGTGGGTGTTAGGGTTGGGGTCTCTGTTGAGATGGTGGTGGGTGTTAGGGTTGGGGTCTCTGTTGAGATGGTGGTGGGTGTTAGGGTTGGGGTCTCTGTTGAGATGGTGGTGGGTGTTAGGGTTGGGGTCTCTGTTGAGATGGTGGTGGGTGTTAGGGTTGGGGTCTCTGTTGAGATGGTGGTGGGTGTTAGGGTTGGGGTCTCTGTTGAGATGGTGGTGGGTGTTAGGGTTGGGGTCTCTGTTGAGATGGTGGTGGGTGTTAGGGTTGGGGTCTCTGTTGAGATGGTGGTGGGTGTTAGGGTTGGGGTCTCTGTTGAGATGGTGGTGGGTGTTAGGGTTGGGGTCTCTGTTGAGATGGTGGTGGGTGTTAGGGTTGGGGTCTCTGTTGAGATGGTGGTGGGTGTTAGGGTTGGGGTCTCTGTTGAGATGGTGGTGGGTGTTAGGGTTGGGGTCTCTGTTGAGATGGTGGTGGGTGTTAGGGTTGGGGTCTCTGTTGAGATGGTGGTGGGTGTTAGGGTTGGGGTCTCTGTTGAGATGGTGGTGGGTGTTAGGGTTGGGGTCTCTGTTGAGATGGTGGTGGGTGTTAGGGTTGGGGTCTCTGTTGAGATGGTGGTGGGTGTTAGGGTTGGGGTCTCTGTTGAGATGGTGGTGGGTGTTAGGGTTGGGGTCTCTGTTGAGATGGTGGTGGGTGTTAGGGTTGGGGTCTCTGTTGAGATGGTGGTGGGTGTTAGGGTTGGGGTCTCTGTTGAGATGGTGGTGGGTGTTAGGGTTGGGGTCTCTGTTGAGATGGTGGTGGGTGTTAGGGTTGGGGTCTCTGTTGAGATGGTGGTGGGTGTTAGGGTTGGGGTCTCTGTTGAGATGGTGGTGGGTGTTAGGGTTGGGGTCTCTGTTGAGATGGTGGTGGGTGTTAGGGTTGGGGTCTCTGTTGAGATGGTGGTGGGTGTTAGGGTTGGGGTCTCTGTTGAGATGGTGGTGGGTGTTAGGGTTGGGGTCTCTGTTGAGATGGTGGTGGGTGTTAGGGTTGGGGTCTCTGTTGAGATGGTGGTGGGTGTTAGGGTTGGGGTCTCTGTTGAGATGGTGGTGGGTGTTAGGGTTGGGGTCTCTGTTGAGATGGTGGTGGGTGTTAGGGTTGGGGTCTCTGTTGAGATGGTGGTGGGTGTTAGGGTTGGGGTCTCTGTTGAGATGGTGGTGGGTGTTAGGGTTGGGGTCTCTGTTGAGATGGTGGTGGGTGTTAGGGTTGGGGTCTCTGTTGAGATGGTGGTGGGTGTTAGGGTTGGGGTCTCTGTTGAGATGGTGGTGGGTGTTAGGGTTGGGGTCTCTGTTGAGATGGTGGTGGGTGTTAGGGTTGGGGTCTCTGTTGAGATGGTGGTGGGTGTTAGGGTTGGGGTCTCTGTTGAGATGGTGGTGGGTGTTAGGGTTGGGGTCTCTGTTGAGATGGTGGTGGGTGTTAGGGTTGGGGTCTCTGTTGAGATGGTGGTGGGTGTTAGGGTTGGGGTCTCTGTTGAGATGGTGGTGGGTGTTAGGGTTGGGGTCTCTGTTGAGATGGTGGTGGGTGTTAGGGTTGGGGTCTCTGTTGAGATGGTGGTGGGTGTTAGGGTTGGGGTCTCTGTTGAGATGGTGGTGGGTGTTAGGGTTGGGGTCTCTGTTGAGATGGTGGTGGGTGTTAGGGTTGGGGTCTCTGTTGAGATGGTGGTGGGTGTTAGGGTTGGGGTCTCTGTTGAGATGGTGGTGGGTGTTAGGGTTGGGGTCTCTGTTGAGATGGTGGTGGGTGTTAGGGTTGGGGTCTCTGTTGAGATGGTGGTGGGTGTTAGGGTTGGGGTCTCTGTTGAGATGGTGGTGGGTGTTAGGGTTGGGGTCTCTGTTGAGATGGTGGTGGGTGTTAGGGTTGGGGTCTCTGTTGAGATGGTGGTGGGTGTTAGGGTTGGGGTCTCTGTTGAGATGGTGGTGGGTGTTAGGGTTGGGGTCTCTGTTGAGATGGTGGTGGGTGTTAGGGTTGGGGTCTCTGTTGAGATGGTGGTGGGTGTTAGGGTTGGGGTCTCTGTTGAGATGGTGGTGGGTGTTAGGGTTGGGGTCTCTGTTGAGATGGTGGTGGGTGTTAGGGTTGGGGTCTCTGTTGAGATGGTGGTGGGTGTTAGGGTTGGGGTCTCTGTTGAGATGGTGGTGGGTGTTAGGGTTGGGGTCTCTGTTGAGATGGTGGTGGGTGTTAGGGTTGGGGTCTCTGTTGAGATGGTGGTGGGTGTTAGGGTTGGGGTCTCTGTTGAGATGGTGGTGGGTGTTAGGGTTGGGGTCTCTGTTGAGATGGTGGTGGGTGTTAGGGTTGGGGTCTCTGTTGAGATGGTGGTGGGTGTTAGGGTTGGGGTCTCTGTTGAGATGGTGGTGGGTGTTAGGGTTGGGGTCTCTGTTGAGATGGTGGTGGGTGTTAGGGTTGGGGTCTCTGTTGAGATGGTGGTGGGTGTTAGGGTTGGGGTCTCTGTTGAGATGGTGGTGGGTGTTAGGGTTGGGGTCTCTGTTGAGATGGTGGTGGGTGTTAGGGTTGGGGTCTCTGTTGAGATGGTGGTGGGTGTTAGGGTTGGGGTCTCTGTTGAGATGGTGGTGGGTGTTAGGGTTGGGGTCTCTGTTGAGATGGTGGTGGGTGTTAGGGTTGGGGTCTCTGTTGAGATGGTGGTGGGTGTTAGGGTTGGGGTCTCTGTTGAGATGGTGGTGGGTGTTAGGGTTGGGGTCTCTGTTGAGATGGTGGTGGGTGTTAGGGTTGGGGTCTCTGTTGAGATGGTGGTGGGTGTTAGGGTTGGGGTCTCTGTTGAGATGGTGGTGGGTGTTAGGGTTGGGGTCTCTGTTGAGATGGTGGTGGGTGTTAGGGTTGGGGTCTCTGTTGAGATGGTGGTGGGTGTTAGGGTTGGGGTCTCTGTTGAGATGGTGGTGGGTGTTAGGGTTGGGGTCTCTGTTGAGATGGTGGTGGGTGTTAGGGTTGGGGTCTCTGTTGAGATGGTGGTGGGTGTTAGGGTTGGGGTCTCTGTTGAGATGGTGGTGGGTGTTAGGGTTGGGGTCTCTGTTGAGATGGTGGTGGGTGTTAGGGTTGGGGTCTCTGTTGAGATGGTGGTGGGTGTTAGGGTTGGGGTCTCTGTTGAGATGGTGGTGGGTGTTAGGGTTGGGGTCTCTGTTGAGATGGTGGTGGGTGTTAGGGTTGGGGTCTCTGTTGAGATGGTGGTGGGTGTTAGGGTTGGGGTCTCTGTTGAGATGGTGGTGGGTGTTAGGGTTGGGGTCTCTGTTGAGATGGTGGTGGGTGTTAGGGTTGGGGTCTCTGTTGAGATGGTGGTGGGTGTTAGGCTTGGGGTCTCTGTTGAGCTGGTGGCGGGTGTCGCGGTGGGAGTCAGAGTTGATGTCTCTATTGAGCTGGTTGTGGGTGTTGGGGGGGGAGTCTCTGTTGAGCGGGTGGTGGGTGTTGGGGTTGTGGTCTCTGTTGAGCTGGTGGTGGGTGTCGGGCTTGGGGTCTCTGTTGAGCTTGTGGTGACTGTCGGTGTTGGTGTCTTTGGTGAGCTGGTGGTGGGTGTCAGGGTTGTGGTCTCTGTGGTTGTGGTGGTGGTGGGAGTCGGAGTTGATGTCTCTATTGAGCTTGTTGTGGGTGTCGGTGTTGGTGTCTCTGTTGAGCTGGGTGTTGGTGTCTTTGTTGAGGTGGTGGTTGGTGTTGGTGTTGGTGTCTCTGTCGAGCTGGTGGTGGGTGTCGGTGTTGGTGTCTCTGTTGAGCGGGTGGTGGGTGTCGGTGTTGGTGTCTCTGTGGTTGTGGTCGTGGTGGGATTCAGAGTTGATGTTTTTGTTGAGGTGATAGTCGGTGTTGGTGTCTCTGTTGAGGTGGTGGTGGGTGTTGGCGGTGGTGTCTTTGTTGAGGTGGTTGTGGGTGTTGGGGGTGGTCTCTCTGTTGAGCGGGTTGTGGGTGTCGGTGTTGGGGTCTCTGTTGAGCTGGTGGTGGGTGTTGGTGTTTTTGTTGAGGTGGTTGTTGGTGATGGGGTTGGTGTCTCTGTTGAGCTGGTCATGGGTGTCGGAGTTGGGGTCTCTGTGATGGTGGTCGTGGTGGATGTTGGAGTTGATGTGTTTGTTGAGGTGGATGTTGGTGTTGGCGTCCTTGTTGAAGTGGTGGTTGGTGTTGGTGTTGGTGACTCTGTTGAGCGGGTGGTGGGTGTCAGGGTTGGGGTCTCTGTTGAGCTGATGGTGGGTGTTGGTGTTTTTGTTGAGGTGGTGGTTGGTGTTGGGGTTGGTTTCTCTGTTGAGCTGGTGGTCGGTGTCGCTGTTGGGATCTCTTTGGTGGTGGTAGTGGATGTTGGAGTTGATGTCTTTGCTGAGGTGATGGTGGACGTCAGTGTTGGTGTCCTTGTTGAGCTGGTGGTGGTTGTCTGGGTTGGTGTCTCTGTTGAGCTCGTAGCGGGTGTTGGTGTCTTTGTTGAGGTGGTGGTTGGTGTTGGTGTCTCTGTTGAGCTGGTGGTGGGTGTTGGTGTTGGTGTCTCTGTCGAGCGGGTGGTGGGTGTCGCTGTTGGGGTCTCTGTTGAGCGGGTGGTGGGTGTCGGTGTTGGTGTCTCTGTTGAGCTGGTGGTTGCTGTTGGTGTCTTTGTTGAGGTGGTGGCTGGTGTTACGGTTGGCGTCTCTGTTGAGCTGGTGGTGAGTGTCGGGGTTGTGGTCTCTGTGGTTGTGGTCGTGGTGGGAGTCAGAATTGATGTTTTTGTTGAGGTGACAGTCGATGTTGGTGTCTCTGTTGAGGTGGTGGTGGGTGTTGGGGGTGATGTCTTTGTTGAGGTGGTGGTGGGTGTTGGGGGTGTTGTCTCTGTTGAGCGGGTGGTGGGTGTCGGGGTCGTGATCTCTGTGGTGGTGGTCGTAGTGGTTGTCGGAGTTGATGTCTTTGTTGAGGTGATAGTCGGTGTTGGTGTCTCTATTGAGCTGGTGGTGGGTGTCGGGGTGGGTGTCGGTGTTGGTGTCTCTGTTGAGCTGGTGTGGGCTGTCGGGGTTGTGGTCTCTGTGGTCGTGGTGGTGGTGGGAATCGGAGTTGATGTCTCTGTTGAGGTGGTGGTGGGTGTTGGGGTTGGGGTCTCTGTTGTGGTGGTTGTGGTAGGAGTCAGAGTTGATGTTTTTGTTGTGGAGATGTTCGGTGTTGGTGTCTTTGTTGAGGTAATGGTGGGAGTCAGAGTCGAAGTCTCTGTTGAGCTGGTGGTGGGTGTCACGGTTGGGGTCTCTGTGGTGGTGGTGGTGGTGGATGTTGGAGTTGATATCTTTGTTGAGGTGATGGTGGATGTCGGTGTTGGTGTCTTTGTTGAGCTGGTGGTGGTTGTCTGTGTTGGTGTCTCTGTTGAGCTGGTGGTGGGTGCCGGGGTTGGAGTCTCTGTGGTGGTGGTGGTGGTGGGAGTCAGAGTTGATGATTTTGTTGAGGTGATGGTCGGTGTTGGTGTCTTTGTTGAGGTGGTGGTTGGTGTCGGGGTTGTTGTCTCTGTTGAGCTGGTGGTTGGTGTTGTGGTTGGGGTCTCTGTGGAGGTGGTGGTGGTGGGAGTCAGAGTTGATGTCTTTGTTGAGGTGATAGTCGGTGTTGTGGTCTCTGTGGTTGTGGTGGTGGTGGGAGTCGGAGTTGATGTTTTTGTTGAGGTGATGGTCGGTGTTGGTGTCTTTGTTGAGGTGGTGGTTGGTGTTGGTGTTCGTGTCTCTGTTGAGCTGGCGGTGGGTGTCGCGGTTGGGGTCTCTGTTGAGCTGGTTGTGGGTGTTGGTGTCTTTGTTGAGGTGGTGGTTGGTGTTGGGGTTGGTGTCTTTGTTGAGGTGGTGGTTGGTGTTGGGGTTGGTGTCTTTGTTGAGGTGGTGGTTGGTGTTGGGGTTGGTGTCTTTGTTGAGGTGGTGGTTGGTGTTGGGGTTGGTGTCTTTGTTGAGGTGGTGGTTGGTGTTGGGGTTGGTGTCTTTGTTGAGGTGGTGGTTGGTGTTGGGGTTGGTGTCTTTGTTGAGGTGGTGGTTGGTGTTGGGGTTGGTGTCTTTGTTGAGGTGGTGGTTGGTGTTGGGGTTGGTGTCTTTGTTGAGGTGGTGGTTGGTGTTGGGGTTGGTGTCTTTGTTGAGGTGGTGGTTGGTGTTGGGGTTGGTGTCTTTGTTGAGGTGGTGGTTGGTGTTGGGGTTGGTGTCTTTGTTGAGGTGGTGGTTGGTGTTGGGGTTGGTGTCTTTGTTGAGGTGGTGGTTGGTGTTGGGGTTGGTGTCTTTGTTGAGGTGGTGGTTGGTGTTGGGGTTGGTGTCTTTGTTGAGGTGGTGGTTGGTGTTGGGGTTGGTGTCTTTGTTGAGGTGGTGGTTGGTGTTGGGGTTGGTGTCTTTGTTGAGGTGGTGGTTGGTGTTGGGGTTGGTGTCTTTGTTGAGGTGGTGGTTGGTGTTGGGGTTGGTGTCTTTGTTGAGGTGGTGGTTGGTGTTGGGGTTGGTGTCTTTGTTGAGGTGGTGGTTGGTGTTGGGGTTGGTGTCTTTGTTGAGGTGGTGGTTGGTGTTGGGGTTGGTGTCTTTGTTGAGGTGGTGGTTGGTGTCGGTGTTGGTGTCTCTGTTGAGGTGATGGTGGGTGTCAGGGTTTGGGTCCCTGTTGTGGTGGTCGTGGTGGGAGTCAGAGTTGAAGTTTTTGTTGAGGTGATAGTCAGTGTTGTGGTCTCTGTGGTTGTGGTGGTGGTGGGAGTCGGAGTTGATGTTTTTGTTGAGGTGATGGTCGGTGTTGGTGTCCTTGTTGAGGTGGTGGTTGGTGTTGGTGTTGGTGTCTCCGTTGAGCTGGTGGTGGGTGTCGGGATTGGGGTCCCTGTGGTTGTGGTGGAGGTGGGAATCGGAGTTGATGTCTCTGTTGAGGTGGGGGTGGGTGTTGGGGTTGTGGCCTCTGTGGTGGTGGTGGTAGTGGGAGTCTGAGTTGACGTTTTTGTCGAGGTGATGGTCGGTGTTGGTGTCCTTGTTGAGGTGGTGGTTGGTGTTGGTGTTGGTGTCTCCGTTGAGCTGGTGGTGGGTGTCGGGATTGGGGTCCCTGTGGTTGTGGTGGAGGTGGGAATCGGAGTTGATGTCTCTGTTGAGGTGGGGGTGGGTGTTGGGGTTGTGGCCTCTGTGGTGGTGGTGGTAGTGGGAGTCTGAGTTGACGTTTTTGTCGAGGTGATGGTCGGTGTTGGTGTCCTTGTTGAGGTGGTGGTTGGTGTTGGTGTTGGTGTCTCCGTTGAGCTGGTGGTGGGTGTCGGGATTGGGGTCCCTGTGGTTGTGGTGGAGGTGGGAATCGGAGTTGATGTCTCTGTTGAGGTGGGGGTGGGTGTTGGGGTTGTGGCCTCTGTGGTGGTGGTGGTAGTGGGAGTCTGAGTTGACGTTTTTGTCGAGGTGATGGTCGGTGTTGGTGTCCTTGTTGAGGTGGTGGTTGGTGTTGGTGTTGGTGTCTCCGTTGAGCTGGTGGTGGGTGTCGGGATTGGGGTCCCTGTGGTTGTGGTGGAGGTGGGAATCGGAGTTGATGTCTCTGTTGAGGTGGGGGTGGGTGTTGGGGTTGTGGCCTCTGTGGTGGTGGTGGTAGTGGGAGTCTGAGTTGACGTTTTTGTCGAGGTGATGGTCGGTGTTGGTGTCCTTGTTGAGGTGGTGGTTGGTGTTGGTGTTGGTGTCTCCGTTGAGCTGGTGGTGGGTGTCGGGATTGGGGTCCCTGTGGTTGTGGTGGAGGTGGGAATCGGAGTTGATGTCTCTGTTGAGGTGGGGGTGGGTGTTGGGGTTGTGGCCTCTGTGGTGGTGGTGGTAGTGGGAGTCTGAGTTGACGTTTTTGTCGAGGTGATGGTCGGTGTTGGTGTCCTTGTTGAGGTGGTGGTTGGTGTTGGTGTTGGTGTCTCCGTTGAGCTGGTGGTGGGTGTCGGGATTGGGGTCCCTGTGGTTGTGGTGGAGGTGGGAATCGGAGTTGATGTCTCTGTTGAGGTGATAGTCGGTGTTGGTGTCTCTGTTGAGCTGGTGGTGGGTGTCGGTGTCTTTGTTGACGTGGTGGTTGGCGTTGGTGTTGGTGTCTCTGTTGAGCTGGTCGTGGGTGTCGGGGTTGGTGTCTCTGTGGTCGTGGTGGTGGTGGGTGTCGGGGTTGGTGTCTCTGTTGGGGTGATAATGGGTGTCGTGGTCCGTGTTTCTATAGTGGTCGTGGTGGTGGTGGGGACAGGCGTGGAGGCACAGTAGCCACAGCAGTAGACGTTGATCTCATAGTTGAGGCAGTAGGGCTGTGGTATGACTCCTCCTGGCCTCTGGTCCTGGTTTTTGCACACCAGCCCCACTGAGAGGTCGCACACCACCACTTGTCCCAGCTCTTCGATGGGAATGTCGGGAAACATGGCAGCTCTGCAGGAGATGTTGGCCGCCCGGTCTGGCTGACAGACATTCTCAATGCGTTCGAAGTCTCCGCCTGGTTTGGTAAAGCTGGGTTTCCCGGAATCTCGCCAGCCTGTCCATCTGCAGTCATCCACACATGGAGTGCTTGTCGGTGCTGTGGTGGTCACGGTCGTGGTGGGTTCTGGTGTAAGCGTGGATGTCACAGTAGTGGCCGTCACCGTGGTCGTTGGTTCTCGGGTGGGGGTTGGTGAAGTGGTGGCTGATGTTGAGGTCTCCGTGGTGGTGGTGGGGCTTGTCTTGGTGGTAGGGCTCGGGGTTGGTGGCGTAGGACACTTATCCATCGGCAGGCAACAATTGACACGAATCTCATAGTCATAACAGACTCCAAATGGTCCAATTCCAAACTGATCTTCGTTCTTGCAAATGAACCCAAACGAGACACTGCACTGAGCCTTCTGGCCCAGCTCCTCCCAGCTGAGGTGGGGCTCCGTGGCCGACCTGCACTGGATGTCCTCGGGGGCCTGGCAGACACTGCCGAATGTCTCTCGGTCGCCATCACTGCCATCAGCCGGGTTATTCTCGTTGATCCAGTCAGACCAGAAGCAGCACAGCTCTGGAGAAGTGAGAGCCAGTGTTGGTCATTCGTGCCTGGGTGTGGCACCACCCCAAAGGTCACTGAGACTCAAAGAGCTCAGAGACCCCACGATCAGCTGCCCTGTCATCACCAAAGGACCAGATGGGAGGCTCAGAGAGTTGAGGGCTGGACGCCACGTCCATCCTCCCCTTCACAGCTAAACTGAGGCCCTGGGAGGCACGAGCACCCCGACACCACACCAGGTGACAGGCCCTCGGAGCTCCAGCCCAGTGCCCCTTGCTCAGCTATTGTCAGGTCCTCGCACCCAAAAACTAATAACAAAAGGGTCACCCATTCCTGTGAGGGAACACGCTGGAAGGGGCTTGGTTTCGACTCTTGGCCAACAAAGTTGTCACCCGGAGCTGGTCCCCCCGTGTGAGTCTCTGGACTCAGCAGATCAGGAATCAGGAATGCACCATCTGCGTTTCCTGAGCAGAGGGCCAGGCAGGGGCCCCACAGCTGGTGTTGGGACAGCTCCGTGAGCCCCTTTGTGGTATTTCCTCTCTGGGCCCCTCGATCACAGGGGACGACCGTCCACACACTTACTCGAAGTTGCTGAAGAGGGAGGTGACGCTGCAGCGAAGGGGAAAGGGCACGTCACTACGCAGGCGGGGACTCTAGCGCTTTCGTCCCTACAAGCTCCCTTTTCCCGTGGCGGCCACGTCCTGCTGCCTCCCCGCGCACCAACCCCGGGAGCTTAAGGGCGCATCTCTGCTTCCCTAACTCACAGGGCTGGGGTATTTTTGCTGGTTTGGGGAAATGTCCCCAAGTCGCCTTCACTATGGTCTGGACTTAGGCACATGGTCGTGACTCACGTCATCACGCCCAAGGCCAGGGACCGAGGGGACGTCCACTCCCTGAGTTGAGAGGCATGTCAGCATCCCTCTGCCCAGGGCCAGAGGGGAGACCTTGCCATGCTGGCCACGCTCGGGCCCTCGGAAGGGCCGCCTCTACTGGCTCAGGGCACAGGGGGAGGCAGGGGCTCCAGAAGGGGTGGGACGTGTGGCCCAGGGCCTCACCTGTGCTGGGGGTTGGGGTGCTGGTGGTGGTGGCGCTGGTGGTTGGGATGGTGGAGGGCACAGGGGTCGTGGTGGGGGTGGGCTGGGAAGACAAGGGTGGTGGGGAGGACGTGCAGATGTTGAAGTGTTTCTCCACCGTCCCGTTGGGGCCACAGATCTCCCAGTAGCAGAAGGCGCGATCCTGGGTGTAATTCAGAATCTTCCCTGTGGGCGAGAGGGAAGCAGCCGTCAACACAGTGGGGACCAGAGCCCCTGGGCTGTGCTAGTAAGGGAAAGGTGGGGGACCCCAGCTTCTACAAGTGGCAAGCTAATGCCCATAGGAACCCCGTCCCCCCCATCAGATTATCAGATTGCAGAAGCCGTGTCACAGGTCAGGTGACAGGGTCCCAGGGCACCAGCTCCCCATCGGGAGAAAAAGGCCATGTGACGGGGCCCTCACGGGGGCTGCCGCAGACCAGAGGCCGGTGTGGGCCAGGAAGGGCCCCGGAGGAGACCAAGCACCCACTGGGCCAGCCCCAGGAGCCCAAGGACGGACAGCCTGCGGGCTCTCCTGGGTAGGGCCCTGGCCGGCTGGGTCGGGGGCAGCCACAGAGGGCAGCTTACCTTCCTCTGGCCGGCAGACTTGCGTGGAGTTGATGCATATGCTGGAAAGCAAGCGCATGGCTGCAGGTGTTCAGGAGGCTCAGGCCTGGCCCGGAGCCCCAGGGTGCAGCCCCAAAGGCGCCCCCTGGGAGCCCACCCACCGGGCTGGAGCTGCAGGCAGAGGAGGGAGGAGGCAAGGCAGGCAGAAGCCAGACGGAGAAGAGAGGGCGAGAACGGAAGTCCTGTGCCCTGCCCCCCGCGTGCGCACATGCGCGTGTGCCTGTGTGCCTGTCCACCGTGCATATGTGTGCTCACGGCGTGCGTGTGTGTGCACGTGTATGCGCCTGTACACCTGTGCATGTGTGTGCTCACGGCGTGCGTGTGCCTGTGTGCCTGTCCACCGTGCATATGTGTGCTCACGGCGTGCGTGTGTGTGCACGTGTATGCGCCTGTTCACCCGTGCATGTGTGTGCTCACGGCGTGCGTGTGTGTGCACGTGTATGCGCCTGTACAGCCATGCGCGTTTGTGCTCGTGGGTGTGTGTGTGCACGTGCGTGAGTACCTGAGTGTGCCTGTACACCCATGCGCGTGTACACTCTTAGGTGTGTGCATATGTGCATGACGGCGTGTGCCTGTGCAGCCGTGCATGTGTGCGCGCGTGGGCGAGCACGTGTGCCTGTGTGTGCCGACCTCCCCTAGGTACCAAGACTGGCAGGCTTTGTCGGTGGGGACGGTCGCTCCGGGGGGGTAGTAGGTGTCCTCCACGTAGCAGCCACATCTGTCTCTTGCGACGCACTTCTTCTGGTCCTCGTCATAGATGGGCCGGTCCTCAGGGCAGTGGGGGTAGCAACCTAGTGGCACAGGGCACGGGGCTTGAACCACGATGACGGACCCCACGTCCACCAGACCCCCCCCTTCCCGTTGTCCCTGCCAGGGCAGGTCCTTCTCTCTAGGCTGCTCTTCTGGGAATGTTCTGGCCCAGAACACTGCCATAGGGCCAAAGGGACAGCCAGGCCCTGCCCACCTGCTTCAGCCCTCTGACCCCTGACCTGGCACCCCTCTCACGTCTTCATGTGGCTAGTTCTCAGCTCAAAGGCCCCCCCACCCATCCTCTGAAACACGCCCCACCCCACTCTGCCTGTTCCTCGTAGCACTTGCCACTCCTGGCCTCACGGGTGGAGCGTTAACCTACTTCCCTCCGCCTGTCTGCTCGAGGGCAGGGTCCTAGCTCAGGCTCTAAGCCCCCTCTATGAACAGATTCTTCAGCAAGGCGAGCCCGGTCCGCCTGGCGCTCAGGGCCTCTCGCGGGGGCACCGAGGTCCTCCAGACTCACCCTCCAGGTAGGACACAGAGATGTTGGAGTGGATGCCGTTGATGGTCCTGCAAGTCTCGAAGCTGCGGTTCCCACAGGGCTCATAGTGCCACTCGCACTCGTCCGGGGGGTTGTAGTAGTCACAGAATATGGCTGCGGGCGGGGCGGGGCAGGGGTCAGACCCCTGGAGGGCCCCAGGAAGGAAGCTTGGATCCTCAGGCAGGGGGAAGCGTGCAGGAGACCACGAACAGGTCCCTCAGATGAAATGCAGCCCGCCCACGGCAGGAGCCCCAGCCCGCCCCGAGAATGCCCCAGGCGGGACAGGCGGGCACTCACGGCACAGGTCGGGCGTCCTCCAGAACACGCAGGCGCCCTCCTTGGTGCACTCCTGGGCGTAGGAGGCCACGGCAGAGCAGAAGCACTCACAGTCCCCACCGGTGTCACAGGAGCAGGAGTCATGAACGCAGGCTTCATAGAAGGGTTTGGGGTCCACCTGGGGGAGAAGCCATTCTGTGCTCTGGTCTGCACTACCCTCATGGGGCAGGTCGGCCCTGCCAGCCCGAGGAACGCAGGACCCAGAGGCAGCCCAGCTCCTGGGCCAAGGCATGCCACCCAGGGGTTGGCCACCTCTAGCTATGCAGACCTGTCCCTCAGGGCCCAGGGCCTTCAGCTGTAAGACAGCAGTTGAGACCTGCCCCCATACCCTGCCACCGCCTGGACTAAGGGCTGCCTGGGTTATCTGTCCTTTTTTCTGCTCTGGGGGCACAGCCAGGGGTCTCAGAAGGAAGACTGGATGTCTAGTCACATGTCCAAAGGACACAGAGGATGGAGCTGAAGCTGGAGGACAGGTGCCTCATACTTAGGCAGCCGGAGGACTCCCCAGTGCGCACACAGAACCCACGGAGAGACTGTCTGGCCCTGCCCATGACGTGCCACACCATGCCCGTCCCGCCCATGCCCCACCCACCTTAACACGCCCACACCCCACCCACACCCCTGGCCCACCACACCAAAACCCACCCACGCCCCGCCCACCTTTGCCACGCCCCACCCACACCACGCCCATGCCTGCCTGCACCCCGCCCCACCACATCCACACCCCACCCACCTTGCCACGCCCCGCCACATCCACGCCCCGCCCACCTTGCCACACCCCGCCCACCTTGCCACGCCCCGCCCACCTTGCTGTGGCAGACACTGAAAACCGAGCTCTTGATGATGCTGCACTGCTTCTCCGCCCAGGCGCGGCGGTGCGGGTTCTTGGTGCAGGGCTCGGGGGTGGTGGTTACGTCCGGGCAGGTGGGGGCCTCCTTCCAGCTGTTCCCGAAGTCCAGCTCGCTCTCCACCACCATGTGGTCCCGCGTGGTGAAGTCGTTGTTGGAGCGCTGATCGAAGTTGCCGCACAGGCCGCACACGGTGCCCTGCGGAGACGGGCGGGCGTGCAGGGGCTTCCAGCAGCGGCTCGCGGGGGAGGGGCTCGTCCCCTCCCGTTCTCGGAAGGCCCAGCTGGGCGCGCGGCGGCCTCGGAGAGGCCGGGTGGGCAGGGGCGGCCGCGTACCTTGTAGGAAGGGGCCAGCTTGATGAAGATGGTGGTTTTCTTGTCCCAGATGACGATGATGCCGGTGCTGGTCTCCACCACCAGGTACTGCCCCACCTCCCGCGTGGTGTAGGCCACGTGGTGGCCCACATCACGCTGGATCACCATGCGGTGCTTGTCCTCCAGCTTCAGCTCCGTCCTCTGTGCCCAGGGGAAATGCCCAGTCACTGGCTGGCCCGAGGTGTCCGGGAACCCACGCGTCCGGGGATGGGCAGCAAGCACTCACCCCTATGAAGATCTTGATGGCCTTGGAGCAGGTGACACCCGTGGTGCCACAGGGGACGTTCTCGGTGATGATGCTGAAGGAGCTCAGCGAGGAGTTCTGGCCGCAGTAGTCCTGGGGGCCACAGAGGACGTGAGCCAAGCCAGCCATCACGGCACCCCACACGCCACACCCCTGCGGAGCCTCAGCCCCTCCTCCGCTGAGAGGGGACATCCAGCCGCACACGGGGCCTTAACCACGGCCCACGCGCCTGGTTCCCTGTGCACCCCACACCCTCACATAGCAAGGGAGGGTCACAGAAGGTGGGCAGTGAAAGGGCCGGCTCCTCCCACCCACAGGCCTCCTCACTGGGCTGGAAGCAGCTCAGGGCCGGCGAAGTGGGGACCAGAGAGCAGGGGCGGGCGCTGGCCTCACCTGAGCAGCCACGTAAGAGCAGTGTCCATCAAAGTCGTAGTACTTCCCATCAAAGGTGATGTAGTGGCCGCTCCCATAGATGGCACAGGTGCCGTGGCACACGGCCTGGGTGCAGGCCCAGCGCCCTCTCTGGCAGGTGCTGAGGAGAGCGAGAGAGGGGCCTGGAGCCTGGCCCTCCCGCCCCGCGCAGAGGGCCACCGGGCCAAGTCCCCGAGGAACTGTGAGGACAGCTCCCGAAACCCGGCCCCTGCAAGCCCTCGCCAGCCCAAAAGCACGGTCCAGCACCCCCATTCAGGCCAGGGCACTGCCGGCGGAGTGGGGAGGGGGCCCCAGCCCTCCCTCTGAGCACTGGGGGCCAGGGTCAGCCAGGCCAGGCCACTAACCAGGTGTTGCAGTCCACCTGGATCTTGTTGCCGGGGGCGTACAGGTCCTTGTTGTGCATACACGGGCACTCCTGCTCCACGACACAGCCCCCGCGGCCGTCATCCACCAGCCCTTCCGGGCACACGCAGCCACTGATGCAGTCTGTCTGGTACTGGGGGCAGCCGGAGAGTGGAGGTCAGGGACTTGGTGCCAGCCGGCCCTGCCCTTGGCTGCTCGTCTGACACGGAGACACCCCTCACGTCCCCACCCACTTTGACCTCTCTCCTTCGGCACGGAGACAGGTGAGGGCTGCCTGCCAGGGACCCCTACACTTGCCCCTGTGCCCCTGATGGGCTGGGCAGGTGCCCACAGGCCGCCACCTCCCTCCAGGGACAGGGAGAGCCGACAAAGCCCCTGTGTCCACAGCACCCGGACGTCAGGGCCAGCACGGAGCCTGCCTGCCCCTCCCCTGCACGCAGCCCGCCCCGGCACGCACGTAGCCGGCCGCCAGCGTCTGGCAGCTGACGGGACGGGGAATCCGGGTGGCCAGTGCAGTCAGGTTGCTGCAGTCCATGTGAACCTTCGGGGCGGCACAGCCTGTGGGACGGAGGGGCCACCTCAGCTCAGCTGCAGCTGGGGCGTGGGGAGGGGCCATGCCCTGGGCAGCATCCACTTACTCTGGCTGAGTAGCTTGACCTGCATGCACTGCAGCCTCCCGTTCTGGCAAACGCTGCAAGGGAGAGGCAGGTGAGTGGGGGCTGTCGGGGGGTACAGGCCCCATGGCTCGGTGGGGCCAGGCGGAGCTGCGGGCTCCCCCAGGCAGAGCCGTCCATACCCACCCTGTGCCCTCCGCCCCACCCAGACACCCACCAGCGCTCCTCCTGCCTCAGAACCACCTCCCCCGCCTCCAGGTAGAGGCCACGGTGGTAGCAGGAACACTGTGCCAGGGGCACACAGCGGCTTTTCTCATCCAGGAAGGTGTGGTCCGGGCAGCCACAGCCATCCACGGGCACGAAGCCCGTGAGGCAGTGGGTGTCCGATTCCGAGAGCGAGCGGCAGGTCTGCTGGCAGGTGGTCAGGTTGTACAGGAAGGTCTGTGACTGGGGGCAGGAGTCCACGTCTGCAGAGGGAAGGGCCTCGTGAGGGGCCAGGGGGACTGCCCGGCTCCCGACCTGCCTGCTGTCCCTGCGCCCCACCCAGGAGGGGCACACGCCTGCCCGGCCGAAGGCAAGTGTCCCTGGGACCTCCTGGGCCACACATTTACCACCTCCACACAGCTCCCCGCAGGGTGAACAGGCTGTGGCCACAGTGCCAGGACCCTCCCCGCCAGAGGAAGCTAGAGCCACGTTGCTGCAGCCGGCTGACCCTCCCGCCGGACCCCAAGGCTCAGGAGGAGCTGCCATAGGGGACCGTGTGTGACGTGAAGGCCAAGCCCCAGACCCATCCCACGGAGACCCCAGGACGCCTGCAGGGGGCGCACTCACTGCACACGAGCTCCCGCCAGCCCCACAGCGTGAGGCCCTTGGCGGCGCAGGCGCGCGCGTAGGAGGACAGGGCGGCGCACAGGCAGTCCTCGCTGTCCGCACAGCTGCAAGTGTCGTACCTGCACCTCTGGGCAGCGAAGCAGGGCGGTGAGCGGGGCGGGCTGGCGGTCACCTGTCCGCCCAGGCGCCACGCAAGCACTCCCGGACGCACACGAGTGTGCACACATGCTTTACACACACACGCACACACACTCAGCAACTTCCGGCAGGAGCCTCGCTCCGCGGCGGGGCAGGGTCAGCCAGGTGCACAGAGCACACCTTGCTGGCCTGGACCGTGTGGGTCCCACCCACCTTGTAATACTCGGCGGGGTCCACGGCAGCGTGACACCTGCCGAAGGGGGTCTCTGTGTTCTTCAGCAGGGAGCACCAGTGCTCAGCATAGTTGGCTAGAGAGGGGGTCCGAACCTCAGTGGGGGCGGCCCCTCCCGGGCAGGTCCCCGGAGTCTGGCTGTCCGATCACCCCAGCTGGAGTGGCCACTGCCCTCTCTGTAGACCAAGCCTTAGCCCCTCCCTCCAGGTCAGCTCACCCCAGAACGGTGCCCCCTTGCAAGCCAGGGGTGCCCACCTCCTCCCCTCTACCTCCCCGGGCGCAGCGAAGCGTCATGGGGTGAGCGGGGCGGGAGGGCGGACTGTCATGGCACCGGGCCAGCCCCTGGATGTAGGCCTCCACCCAGCAACCAGCAGGCCCAGCCCCTGTGCCGTGCCGCTCGGCAGGCTGCCATCTTGGGCCGCCGTAAACCAGCCACGTGGCAGAAAGCAGCAGGGGGATGAGGGATGACCACCTTGAGCAGACAGGCACCTGTCCACACCCCACGTCCGGCCAGCAACCACATCTGCAATGGCCCAAGGCCAGCCCTCCCGGGTGGGGCCGAGCCTCACCGGTCTCAATGTTGAGGGAGCAAGGGTCGTCCAGCCAGTCCAGCTTGTCATAGCAGCTCGACTGGGCCTTCCAGGTATTGGCAAAGCCGGCCCCGGTGGCCTCCACCAGCCCACCTGCCGTCTTGAAGTCGTCACTTTCCTGGCCATTGAAGTTCCCACAGAGGCCTGAGGGGCCAGGACAGGGTTGGAGAGGGGAAGCACCGGGGAGGCAGGACCAGGGGCGGGGGCCAGGGCAGGGGTAGGCGGGACCAGGGCAGATGGTGGGCGGGGCCCAGAGCAGAGGTGGGCGGGGCCAGAGCAGAGGTGGGTGGGGCCAGTAACATGGGGAGGGTAAGTCCAGGGCAGAAGTGGGTGGGGCCAGGGACTGAGATGGGTGGTGCCAGGGGTGGGGTGGGGCAGAGGATGGGCGGGGACCGATGGGGTGGTGGGCGGGGCCAGGGACAGAGGTGGGTGGGGCCAGGGGCTAGGGTGGGGGCTGCTTCTGTGGCGGAACCTGGAGGCCCACTCACCCTGCACCTGCCCCTGGGAGTCCTGGTCCAGCGTCAGGAAGAGCTGCATGACCGGCAGCAGCTGGACCTGCAGCCTGAGGCCGAAGGCGGTGTTTACGAGCAGGTGATAGGAAGACGGTTGGAAGATGGAGAAGCTGGCTGCAAGGCGGGCGTGAGCAGCGTGAGCAGCAGCTCCGCCCGCCCTCTCCCTCCTGCCTGCTCCCAGCTCCCGGGGTCCCCCACCGTTACGTTGCCCCACCCCCGCGGGGGCGCCCTGGAGCAGGACTCACCCGCCACGTGGGGCAGGTTCACCTGCAGCTCGTTCAGCAGCACGCTGCCATCGGACTTGAAGACCACCACCTGAGGGAAAGGCGGAGCGGACGGCAGGTTGAGAAGGGCCTGGGCCCAGGGGTGCGGGGAAGGGAGGAGCTGGGGGCACCCACGTTCTTCTTCTTATCAGTCAGCAGCACCACCGTCTTCAGGCAGGTCTGCTTGTCCGTGGAGCCGCAGGGGGCCAGCTCGCCCAGGAGGGCATAGGAGCCATTGTGGTCGTCCTGCAGGGCAGGCAGAGGCTGAGGTGAGGACCCGCCCGGCCCGGCTCCCCCCGCAGGCCCTCCCCGCCGGCAGCCGGCCGACCTTGGTCAGCACGTAGTAGCAGTCCCCGTGGAAGGTATACTTCTTCCCGTCGAAGGTGGTGATGTGGGACCCACCCTCCAGGGCGCAGGTCCCGGGACATGGCAGGTCTTTGCACACCCAGCGGCCGGCGTTGCAGACGCTGTCGGACAGCGGGGCTCAGGGCCAGGCACAGCCCTCCACTCCCAGCCTCCCAGTCCCCGGCCCCCAGCCCCGGCCCCCAGACCCACCACTGCTCGCAGTCGTTGGTGACCTGCTGGCCAGGCTCATACAGGTGCCCGTGCAGCTTGCAGTGGCACTGGCTCACAGGGATACAGCCCCCGCCTGCGATGTCATCATACACGGTGCCTGGACAGCGTGGGGTGGGACGTTACACGCGGCCGACCTCAGGAGGTGCCGGGATTCCTGAAGTGGGGCTGCCAACTGGGCCTCCTACCCACAGGCACCCCTGGTCCTTTGGGTGACATGTGTGGCCGCCACATTGTCTGGCCAGCAGCTGGGCCTGAGAGTCTGGCTCTTCCCTGAAAGCTCCAGGTCGCATGGGCCGGGCAGGGGGAGGTGTGTCCACAGGTGGTGACCAGGAAGGTGCCCCTACCCAATACTCCAGAAGCCACTCTGGTGTATGTACGGGAGGGGCCTTGAGCCTTGTGCCTCTCTACCTGGACCTCGTCCCCTGACCGGGAGGGAAGGAAGCTCCCTGTACCATCTCCGCCCCACACTGTCCCCTCAGTGCAGCTGAGAACCCGAGCCTCAGGCAGCGAGGCCACGTGTCCCATGGTGACCAGGCCCGTGGGCTGCACTGGGCCATGTGCCACCCGCCAGCTCTGTGGCACTCACCGTCTGGGCAGAAACAGCCATCCATGCGGTGCTCCTCACACAGGCTGCTGATCTCCAGGTGAGAGCAGGTGTCCATGCAGGGCGAGCCGCTCTCCAGGTAAACCATGTTCCCAGGGCAGCTCTTGGCTGAAAGGGCAAAGGCAGGCCCCTGAGCCGGACGTGCCCGAGGGCGGCGAGCTGGTGCCCGGGCTCCCGCCCTGCTTCGCGAATGCCTGGCGCCCAAGGCCCAGGCTGCTTCTGTGGTCAGCAGATGTAGCTCCTGACCGGCACACCAGGACACCTGCCGTGGGCTGGTGAAGGTCGCCACGCCCCCCACGGGTCGTCCCGCCCCGGGGCCCGCGGGTGGCCCTCCCCGCCCCGCTGGGGCACTCACGGCAGAGCGTGGCGTTCCTCCAGGTGCCCGGCTGCCCGCCGGCGTGGGAACACTGGCGCGAGAACTCGGCCACGGTGCTGCACACGCAGGAGGTCCCCTGCGGGCACTGGCAGCGGTCCTGCACGCAGGCCTGCACGTACGGCGCCAGCGGCACCAGGCCCAGGCACTCCTCGAAGGCCGTGGCCGTCAGCAGCTGCTCGCACTCGGCGCGCTGTCGGGCAGACGTGGGCGGTGGGCGGTGGGCAGTGGGCGGGGGCTGCTCGCGCCCTCCGCCCGGCCCTCCGCCCAGGGGCCGGGGCCTCGCCCGCGACTCACGTGCTCTGAGCAGGACGCGGGGTCTGCAACCTCCTCAGGGTCGTCGCACACCACGTCGGGCTTGTTGACCTTCTGCATGTTCCCAAACTCCAGGGCACTGAAGAGCACGCCTGCGTGGGCACGGCCGGTCAGCGGGGCACGGCCGGTCAGCGGGGCACCGGGGGAGCCTGGCTGGCCCCCGCCCACCGGGGCGCCCAGGACTCACCGTCGGAGAGGAACTCGGAGTAGGTCTGCAGGCCGTTGTAGTCACCACAGAGGCCACACGTGTGGTTCTGGAACTTGCTGTCCAGCTCCAGCTGTGGGGGGCGGGGGGCAGGTGAGTGGCCACAGGTCAGCGGGGCCACCGGCCGGGCAGCAGGGCAAGCCCGCATAGCCGGGCCACCTCAGAACCTTGCTTGAGTGGGTTCCAGTTTGAGCAGGACGGCTGGGGAGAGCTGAGGACCAGGGTGGGGGCGCAGCCCCCCACACCACCCCAGGGTCCCTGCCTCCGGCGGGTCGTGTGGCCTGGCCCTTGCCGACCGCTCACCAGCCAGCCTCCTCCAGCAGCCCAGACAGAGGCCGCGGGCAACCCCGTCCCCGCGCTCCCTTGGGTCCCAGCACCCACCATGAGTGAGTCCTCACGGTCCCACATGAGGGCGAGGCCCGTGCGGGAGAAAACCTTGGTGTAAGCGTCACTCTTCTCGATGAGCAGGCCGGAGCTGTAGTGTGGGGTGCTGACCCTAGGGGCCCGGGAGGGAGTCACACGCAAGCCCGCCCGCCGCCCCGAGCCCGGGCCTCGCTGTCTGGCCCCCGGAGGGGCCCGCGGCCGTGTGTAGGGCGTGCAGGGACGGGCCCCTCCGCCTCTCAGCCACCTCGCGTCCTGGGACCTCAAGCGGCCAGGTGCCCATCGAGGCTGCAGTGGCCGAAGGGTGCTGTCCACCTGGACCAGCCTGCCGTCCCCCTCTCCCACCCTCCCCTGTCCTGGGCACGGCCACCGGGGCCGAGGAAGGGGGCTTCTCCAGCCCCTGCACCCCCCATCGCTCAGAGGGCGCCCCGGCACTGTGCTTCCCCAACTCTGTGCCTCCGCGGCCCTGGACCCACCCTGCCCTGAGCCGGCCTGACCACCTGGGCTGCAGCCAGATCCCAACCCGCCGGGCAGGACCGAGCTTAGGGGCTCATTGTTCCAGACACAATGGCAGGACAATGGCCGGGGCCCTGGGGCGGGGCCCCCTACAGGCCCCACCCTGTTTCTGTAACTCTAGCTGGGGTCACAGGGCACCAGACCTCCATACCAGACACCTGGGCCAGGACACCTGGGCTGTCCCACCTCAGCCCAGAGAGGCTGTGGGAGACTGGCAGGATGAATAAACCCCCTGAGCCCCCCACCCCGTCCCTGGCCTGTGGGGGCTCCTGGAGGGGCGGGGGGCCCCCGCTCACTGATGAATCAGTGGCCTGAGTTCAAACCCAGTGCCCTCCTCAGCCGAGTTAGGACGGGGCTCTGGGGCGCCGTCCGAGTCCACTCACATGGCCCCGTTCACCACCGCCAGCTGGCGGGTGAGGTAGATGGTGTCATCCTTGACGGTGAGCAGGATGTACTCGATCTGGGGGTGACCCCCGTCGCTGCCCGGCGCACGCTTGAGGTGCAGCGCGAACTCCTTGTAGGTGTCACGGCAGTCGGAGGCCAGGTTGTAGTCGCAGAGGCCGGGGAAGCGGAAGATGTCACCGTCGAAGGTTTTGTAGTGGAAGTCGCCCCAGGTACTGCACACGCTGTGGCCGTGGTTCCGGGTCCTGCCCTCTGGGAGGCAGTGGCGATGGAGGGTGAGCAGACCGGGGTGGCAGCTGCCCCCTCAGGACCCTCCCTGGGTGCCCGGCTGCAGCTCGGAGCCCCAGTCTCAGCGCAGGGCCAGGGGGGTCCTCCTGCAGGAAGGGCCTCTGCCGGACCTTGCCACCCAGCGTGCTGGGACGGAGGTGTCCTCATTCTGTTCCCAGCCTGCTCTGGATGAAGTGACCCCTGAAGAAGGGGCTCTTGGCCGGGCCCCTGATGCCTGGGCCTGAGGCGTCCCCCACCCGGCCCCCCCGGACATCCGTGCCCCCCCACGCTCGCGGACCACGCCCAGCTCAGAGGTTTCCACCTGGAGCAGACCCTGGACGGCCCCTCTGGCCAGGTGATCACTTTCAAGGGCACGGTGGGAGCTCGCGAGCACCTGTCCCCCAGCGTCAGCAGGGCTGGGTGCTGCAGGACACCCCACAGGCAGGGCAGAGGGGGACCACCCCCACTCCCGACTTCGGCTGCCTGGCCTTCCTGCCCCGCCCAGGACACAGTGCCGGCCACCCCACTCACCTCTCTGCAGCTCCGAGGCCCTGGCCGAGGTCAGGGCCAGGCAGAGGGCCACCAGGTACACTAGTGGCCGCCCCATGGCGGCTGGCAGGGTGATGTGAGAGAGTGACCAGGGCAGGGGTCCGGACCTTATATGGCCCAGCAGGGCTGGCAGAGGGCGGGGAGCCCAGGGGAGGGGCCAGGGGGTGGGGCGTTGGCCAGATAATCAAGAAAGCAGCTGTGGGGGCTCCCGCCGGCCGCCGTGGGGAAATATTGATTCAAGTTATCTGAGGTTTATCTATTTACTCATCTCCCCGCGTAAAGCT